AACTGGCCCACAAAGACAGCAGCTTCCTGCACCACCATGCCAGGGCAGTCAGTCCCTCCACAGGGAAAGTGCATCCATGGGCAGGGATGGGAGAAAAGGCACGTGGCCCCGCAAAGAGAGGCTGGAAGCAGGCAGGGCTCCTCTACTCACCTGTTTGTGCTGGGCAGCTGGTGGGAAGCAGGAGGAGGGATGAGTGAAGTGCTGCAGTGCCCGTTGCAGGGATGAGCACAGCCTGACAGCGGTGGCGGCATCTTCAGCAGCGGCACGTTGGCAGGGGGCAAGTGAGGGCTCTTGCACGGCCCTGGGCTGTGGGAGGCCACGCTGGCCGGAGGGGACTCGGACACCGGCTTGGGGGCCGCTGCCTGCGCGCTGGGAGCAGGGAAGAGCACGGCCTGTGAGGAGGTGCCCAGCGGGATGTGCGGTGGGGAGCTGAAGGGCCCCGGATGGGGAGGTGTCTGCTTGGAGGGGATCAGCGCCGGTGGCTGGGAGGGGAGGCCGGTGGGACTGTTGGGAGGAGCAGTGAGGTCGGAGTGCTGATGATGCTCTGAGGAGTGGAAGGCCTCACCTGCAGAGAGGCAGGAGCAGAGACAGTCAGACACTGGCTGTGCTGTACAGAGCAAGGCCATGCTCAGAGCCACCCACCACCTTTGAACAAGCTGTTTCTCCTCCCTGACATCAGAGTGCTTGGGACAGAAGCCATCCCTGCTCACACAAGGCCTTGGGGTCAGTGTGCCTCTCCCACAGGATCCAGCCCTGCCCCATGGAGAACAGGGCAAGGGGAAAGGCTCTGGAGCAGCAGACTGGGAGGCTGTGGCTGGTGCTGTCCCTGAGCACGCACCTGGCGGGGTGGCCCTCCGGCACAAGCTTTTGAACTGCTTCGGCAGTGTCTTGCAGAAGTCGAGTGAGGTAGGCAGAGGCGAGCCCGGTGTGGCGTTGCTGGAGGTGGCAGAGGCCGTGTGGCTGTAGGGACAGGCCTTCAGCCCCGGTGCCATGGCTGACACCTGGCTGGCACACTCCGGAGACAGAGCAAGGCTGGGGAGCTTGTCGCCTGGAAGGAAAGCGGAGCTGGGGCTGAATCCCAGCACCATCTGTCTTTTTCAAAGGCCCAGCCTGCCCACCCTTGCCCACAAGGAAACCAGCTAAGCCAAGAACTGGGCAGAAAACCCTGCTCAACCCCACAGCTGGTTTCAACTCACCTAGTGCAGCTGGGGGGGTCCCAAGAGGGCTGCCCTGTGCAGTCCCATTGGTGTGCTGCGAGTTCCAGAGGCCCGAGAGCTTGTGAGCAGACAAAAATGAGCTGGGGTCCCAGTCCCCTGAGTTCCCGTGGCACGAGGAGGAAGAAGACGAGGAGGAGGAGGAAGAGGAGTGTGAGCCACCCCCACAAGACTGCGACTTGCAGGATGTGTGGGATAACGAGACCTATCAAAGTAAACACAGAATGAAGTGGCTGAGGGGACACCCTTGGCCCCAGGGTGTCAGCACCAAGACTCCCTCCACCACAGTAGGGGCTCAGTTCGTCTGAACCACTCCTGTCACCATCTTGGGAGTGACAAACACCCTCTCCATCCAACACCAATACAGCCTGGCTCACAGAGGCTGTGCCATGCCAAGGGCCACATGCCTGTGCTGGTCCCACTCACGCCAGGGCAGGGTTAAATAAAGCCAGGCAGCAGGAGGCAGCTCCTCTGCCTGAGCCCCACGCACAGGCAGGCACTTGCCCTGGCAGCCGCTGCCTCTCTCTGCGTCACGAAGGGAGCAGCCCTGGGGCTGGGGGATGCGGCACAACGGAGTGGGGCTGGCAGGAAAGCAGTGGCACTGTCAGCCTTGCCAGCCCAGCAGCTCCAAGCCATGGCAGGCTGCTGGATGAGCCTCCACAGCACCACACACTGCCCCAAGAAGACCTGTCCCTGCTGGGCCAGAGGCAGCCTTGGGCAGGGACGTCTGGGACACTCAGCTCAGAGTGAGGATGGAACCCACACACCCAGTCAGTGCCACAGGGTGGTCAGTGCCGTATTTCTACAGCTACAGCCCTGTCTTCCAAACCCCAGCTCCATAACCGCGTACCGCCAGGGCCTGCTCCTGCACCGCCCGCCGCTCTTCCTCCTCCACGCTCTTCCGGCAGCTCTGGCAGATCCACAGTGGCATTTCTCCCAGGAGGTTCTGCACAAGTGTTGGCACGAAGTCTGGTGGCAGCCTCTCGCCCGGGGAAACCAGCCCATTGTGGGACGGCCCTCCCCAGTCCTTGCGCTCCCGGTGACAGAGCAGGCAGCACGTCTGCACGGACTGGTTGGCGGTGGGCAGCACCTGAGGAAGGACACACAAACCGTGAGTCACCCAGGTGTGATCCGGCACAGATGTGGGGCAGATGAGACAGTGAAGGAGACCTCATGATGCTGTCACCAAACCAAGGAAATTCTTGTAGTCTACATGTGGCATTGAACCTTCTCCCACTGGAGCAGACCAGCCTCAGGCTGACCAGCTGCTGCCAACCTGCCATGTGCCAGCTGGGAGCGTTTGGGCTTCTGGGAAGATCACAGCATGCCAAAGAGCCAGCCTTGCCACCAAGAAAAGCTGGGAAGTCATCAGAAACTCCCACCATCACCTCTAGTACAGTGAGACTGAGGGTACTAGCATGGCAAAGCAAGACCCACAGAAATCCCAAGCAGGAATGTGCGGGATTGAATGAAAGGTGGGTCTGGCAGCCTCAGCTCTTCCTCCTCACCCATCAAAGATGCCCCCACTGTGTCACCCAAGAGCCCCAAGCCCTCTCTCCCGCCTCTTTGTTCTGCACAGACAGCTGTGCTGATGCGCCAGGGTGGGGTGCAGCCCCCCGTGCTGCTTGACGCTCTCCTCGAACAGGCACAGCCAGGCTGGGGCTTCCCTGCAGGAGCTGGGCTGCATCCCTCGGGCTGGTTGGAGCCCTGACAGCCGTGACAAGCCCGGCGTGGCGCGGGCAAGGGGGCCCCCATTGTCTGCCGGCGCAGCGGGGCCCTGCCACAATGAGCCGTGCATTGAACTGCTGCTGCCAAACAGATGGCGTCTGCAGGCTCAAGGTGAAGCAAAGGTCAGAGGCCAAGGAGAACAGAGTGGGGGCACAGCCCCCTGCCCACCCACGGCGAGGGGGGAGCAACCAGGCCACCCCGTGTCCCAGCTGACACGGCCATCAGGGCGGGTGAAACCACGGCTGGTGACACCACGGCTGTCCCCAATCCACCCAGCACATCCATAGCCGGCGCCCACCCCCGCCTCCCTGCCCACAGCCCGGAGCAGGTGGCGGCAGCCAGGTGTGTCCAGCAGCGAGAAGCGCGCTGAATGAGGATGCTGGAGCCACCTGCCATCGCGCAGTGGCAGGGCAGTGGCAGGGCTGTGGCAGGGCTGGGCCCTCCCGCGGAGCGCTGTGGGAACGCTCCGAGCCCCATCCGCAGGGATGCTCCGAGTCGGGGGTCGGGGCGGGGATGGGGCAGG